GTTCCTTGCATTTCGGTTCACCGTGAAATCCCGCATTCGTTAACAAGACTACAAACGCATTTACAGACATAGTGGCGTTTTTTGTTCGGTTGTGTTTGATTACGTTTTTAAGTTTGGTATTTCTTCGATTAGTCGCCCATGTGAGAGCTTCAAATCCACGACCGTTGTCTTCTGTATCCAGCTGCGTTTCTTTGGTTAACTATTTTTCCCTGCAGCGAGAATCCATTTTTGTCACTGTGCATTTGTGTTATGAACTCATCACTGATGGTGCGCTCATGAAATGTTTGCCCTCATCGATATTTGCTGTTGACCCAGTGCCAATGCATCTTAGTTTAACATCTCAGTTTAACACCAGTGACTGTATTGAATTCCTTAGTTTAGCACAGAGTTGCTGCTGACATGTTATAGGTGGTTGACCCTGGTTGTGCTCTTTTGGCGTCGGTGAAAGTGGTGTGGACAGTTTGTTCATGGGATCAGGAAATATTAACAGAGTAAATTTTTGCTTGTCTATTAGGTACGTGAGAAGCGCATTATGGCGGAGTGTAAGATTGCGAAGGATGTTGTGTATCAGTTGAGTCCACGGTTTTGTTAGAGGTCGTGGTGTTACACAGTTGCCGAGGAGAAACTTCGAAGTTAACTTCGGATGACATCACTACTTTGCTGAACAGCATGTCAACAAGGCAACGGAACGAATTCGGGTATCCGCGGCAATTGAGAGCCGGTGATTGGTTACTCAGTTAATGCGTTTTATGTTCCGTTGCCTACCAAACAGGGTCCGATTCTCCCCGTGGATTATAGCGTCCGTGTACTGGATGCAATACTTCACCGCTATGAAACAGGGGCAGTATGTGTTGGATCATATCTGTGGCATCACAGGATTATTAACCATACAAGGTAGATACGATGAACAGATTAAAACTCACTGCTATTAGCCCATTGGTTTGGAATTCCGGAGTTTTGTCGACCATCAGGTGACGGGGATATGGGTCCATTATGTTTACATCATTTAGCTTCTGATCCGAATCTTCGGCGGCAGTGTATATTACTCTGATTCCACACGGTGCTGTTCGCCACCCGGCCGCAGTGGTCACCGGGAACGGACTTTCCCTGGACGGATGACTTGTAGCTGCAGGAGACAAACGCTGAGTTTACGTGGGACACTGATTCTGAAGTTACATCAAACATTGAACTATTTTGGACTTGAATTGCTGCTTCTCTAGCTGCTCGTTGTCGAATAGCATGGTTTCCACCACGTCCAATGGAGACGGGAATGGGCAGCTTCCCGCGCTCTTCTGAGCCACCATTCAGAAGTTGACGGCGTTGAAGGAGAGCTCGTGGGACTAGCAAATACTAGTCTGAGACGGTGAGCGAAAGTAAGCGCGGATATCGGAAGGCAATTGGAGTCGGACACAGCGGACTGTATTCGATAGGCTACAAGAAGACGCGGATGGATGAAGCAAGGTAGGAGGTACACGTTAGCGCAGGAACTTACAAGGCGGTCGAGAGTTGCGCCGGTTGTAAGGAAGATTAAAACAAGAAAGAATAATCTACAATTGGTCAACAATTAAATAGTGCCTAAGAGATAGCGGTTATCGTTTTGGGCGCTAAGTCATATTACCTCCCGAGTGTATCGCGCTAAATTACTTGATTTCCCTGTTAGTGGCATTTTGTGTTCAGCCTACTTGATACCTCACATAGTGCAACGTGAACTACCCCCATTGTTGGGACTGCTCCCACATTTGAGATGAAAGCGCATACAAAATGCAGGACAGATAAGTACATTGGTGTCAAAGCTGCTTGTTCATTTGGTCCAGATGAAGTACTTCTGCAACCTGGTAATCAATAATGGATCACGATATTGCGTGAAAGTCTGTGCTGTGCCCATTGGTTGTAGTGCCATATTGCGTCGCACGGTGTGCAACCATTTCTTTACTGCTTTGGTCATCTCCTCGGGAGAAAGGCCGTATGCAACAAAGCTGGTCAGTAGAGTTGCTGTGAAGAATATCCCGTTAAAATGTCGGTAACAGAGTACGAGGTCGTTTTTCTAATAGAGTAGGTACCTCGGGCACCGGAGAAATTGTTCGCGGCTCCAACACCTCTAGCTACTGTTACGGGTGGGATGATGAACATTGTCGCCATGCGTGCAATCAAGGTACTGCGCCTTATCAGCCGTTACCAGGGCCTTCCGACGCCTTTATCCCGTAGTGATGCGTCATATACATACAAAGCATCCGCTGTGGTAAACGGGAATGGTAAGTCTGGATTACTTTGCCGTAGCAACTGAAGCAATTCGTCTATCCGGGATTAGTTGTCGGATAGCTTTTCAAACAGGCGCCTCCAGCGGCGAGTGATATCTACGGGAAAGGCGCATACTGTCATTGGAAATGGAAAACATACCTTGGTTATTCGCTACGGACTTTTTGATCTCAGAGATGTCTTTTTTAAATCAGGAGATATGTATGAAACGGCGGCAAATGCAAAGCAGTGAGACCGTAAGATACTGTCAGTGGATCTTTAGGTTATTAACGAAGGCGAAGGGGGATACGTATTAGTTCCTGAGGTGAGCGGTTTTGTGGCGGACAACGAGAACCTTACCAGTTGTTTGAACGTCTTTGTCTGTAACCAGTGCCTTCTCGTCCCCCGAGCCAGAAGTATTTTGAGAAAGCTATGTGTATTTGCATGACGGAACAGGATGGTTGATTGTGTCAATTGATTCTGATGCCAAGGCAAACATTCCTGCCGATGGTGCAGCTCGATACGTGGCGTCGGCAGATAAACGCTTTTTTCGCGGTTGTGCACGCAATTCTTCCTCATCATCGTCGAAAAGTAGTCCGGCTGTTCGTCTCTTGGAATGTTAATTAAGAAATGGAAATACCTAATTCGTTTGCGCGGCGTGCCCATTGATACTGTCATCCGTGTCATCTGCAAATAACCGTTCTGCTTATGCAAGAGACACGGAGCGTGTATACTGTTAGCCATCTGCAAAATGAAATCGCTGTACACAACAAACCTGTCTGCATAATCACCCGAACCGGGTGCGGGTGTTCGGTGACTCTGGACCACGTTCTCGTACACTCTGTGCTGTAGTTCGTGTATGATGGCGGTATGACCATTATTCTGCAGCCACTTGCTGTTAATAACGGTAACCTCCGAACCACGTTCGGTTCGTAAGGCGAAAACGCAATACCGCGGTCGGGACATGACCTGATGAAAAAGTGATGACGTTAGAACGTGCGATGGACATGGCAGCGAAGTTCACAGAAAGTGATGGCCTGTGTTACTGCTATATCTCAAAAGCGATAGTAAAGTAGAACTACAGTACACGATGCAGAAATACAAATGCGCGTGAGACCTATGGGCGAAAAGTGTGCAATATGAGAATTATAACGTTTCTTCGTGCAACTTTAAGGCACCTGCCTTGCAAACAACATCATGTAGTGGTTGTTCGCAAACATAAATGCGTTAGAGCAAGAGCGGGCAAGCGTTTTCGAGCTTGCAGATATAAATATGCGGAGCTCTTCATGCGTCATTATTCAAATCCCCGGCAAACGCTGCAGTTGGCGGCACCTACCATACCCCGAGGTTTTAAGACCGTCGTGCAATGGCACTACTGTCTTATTGGATGATGCAAATCGAAATACGAAGCGGAATAATCGCTTTCGGTAACTACCAGTTACTGGAAGAATGAAACCTCGTCTTGGAGTCCCTACGTAGGTCAAAATCTGCTCGTTATCGACGACTACTATGGACAATGGCCGTTGCCAACCCTACTATAACTATTCTCTCGGCATCCTTACAATGTCAACGCAAATGGCTATACTGCTGGGTTTGATCCAGACGCATAATAGTAACTTCTAATTTTACCCCGATAACGTACTACGGTTAAGAAAGCGCGATCCGGATAGCATGCTTACAACGCCGCATTGATAGTATTGAAGAATATAATTAATTGCTTTTTATACAATAGGCTTATCTCTGTACACTGTCAAAGCCGCACCCGGTATGCGGCGATCACGAAATTGCACGTATAGCGTGATATAGAATTTTCCGACTAGAGGGCAATTGCGTTGAAACACCGGCGATATATTAATGAATTGCAGCGTTTGGCCGCAATGCGTAAGCGACGGATCGCTATTCCAGGGATTCCGCCTAGGATCAGACGTCTGACCATCGACTTATGGAGTTTTGCGTAACATCGCCAGCTCTCTTGTGCATGCGAACTCGCGATACCAATCTTTTGGCCGCCTACCATCGGTCTGCTTGCAACACTTACACTCGTCCGAATAGCGCAAGGATGATACGCCCAACCTTATACAAGCCTTTTGGAACGGGTTTAATGAATAAGTTCCTCCCCGTAGGTCGCTTTTGAACCGAAGATTTCTTCCTCAAATTCGGAGTCGCTGGTATGGTCCGAACATGCTCCTAGCCTGTAGCAAAAATTCCAGCCTCGGCACAAATTCAAAACCCGATTGCTAGCTTTTCATTTCACAGTATACATAAATTTATGGCAGAGGAAACGACGCCTTCGTCCTAAGCCTAATCCTTTACAGAGTTGGCACAGCGGATCTGTATAGTATTACAGAAATCCGCTGTCGTTTTGGCATTTCAGCGATTTGTGTTAATAAGTATTGAAGATGAAGTATTTTTGAGGGCTAGTCTGCGAGTTAGCCTATTTAAGGTCATTGGTAGATAGCTTTTGCACATTTCTTGTGCGACGAGATTCCTATGTGGCGTAGGGCTGAAGGAGCCTATGGGGCCTATGGCCAGTGCGCAGCACCCATGACCGACAAAGTAGGTCAAGGTCGAACGTGCCAAGTTTGCACACGTCTGGTTCGGAGCGGACTATTTAGCAAATTCATCGATCGGCGTCAGAGACCTAGTCGGAGACTAGCGGAGGAGAGGAGTGCAGGTTTGTAAACTTTTTGGTTATCGATTAGCGATGAGATGGTCGCCAGCCAAGCTTAGGACCCTAGGTAGACGGCAATAGTATGGTGAAGGATTTAATGCAATAAGGTTGGAAATCGAAGGACAGTACTGGTGTATAATCCGCTGCCGAGTTCAACAGAGTTGGCAGCGGTCCAGACATTGAGTGTACTAGCAATGTTTCTGTATCCGTCTTGGGGTCCGATGAGTGTGAGGGTGAATTGTGTTTCCAGTAGGACATGTCCCATCATCCGAACAATATCTTCGGATGTGGATACTGGTTCAATGTGTGGGAGAAATAGGAATATGGGGTTGGTGGTGTGATTGTAAATGCCAAATGCGTAGGAGGAGGTAAAGTCAGTAAGGGGTTCAGTAGGGACTGTTTGTGAGGGACCGTTCTGTTTCCAGAACGGTGTGTATGGGTAGGGTGATGTATTGCGATAGTAGTCTCCAGGCATGAATCGGTATCTGTTGGAGACAGGTTGTTGTGTTCTGATGTGGAATCGGAAGTGGGAGTCGAAGTAGTACCGTTTAAAGTATACTTCGTTGGCAGATAGTGTTTGGACGTTGTTACGGGCAAGGAGACCTTGGTCGTAGGAGAACTGCCAGTAGGTGTTGGAGGGTACCTTGCAGTCCTGGTTGAGTAGGGCTGCTTCTGTAACGTTAGTATGGACAGTGTTGAGGAGCCCGGAGTTGTCTTCCGCTGTATACATGTAGGGGGCACTGTTGAAAGCGGTAACATCGGTGGCGGTGGAGCGTTGGCGGGATTTCTGCAGCGGTATGTAATGTGAAAGGCGCACAGTAGCATGATCGCAATGACACATAGGAAATGCGTTTCGTAGGGTGGCGAATGGTTCAGCGTGTTGTTGGTCGAATTGAAGACTCCAGAACTCAAATACGGATAGGGGTAGGCATGTGATAGAGTATGTGTCAGAGGTTTCTGCAGGTTTGTATTGTTTGATGGTGAGGTGTTGTTTGCATGTGATGGTGATTGTGGTAGTGTTGTATAGTGGTCGAAGAAGGCGGATCCGTTTAGTAGTAGAGGGGGTAGTGTTGGCAGTGGCATCATTTTCTGTTGTTGAGTTGACGGCCATACCAGGAGGCAAAGTGACAGGCGCAGAGAGTGATTCGTGGTTGTGGTAGTTCCGGCGTGCCGACTTGAACAGTGAACTTTTACATGTGGCATCGAGCATATATAGCAGCTGCGTCGATGGGGGGTGATGTATGTATTGAGGCTGTGATTTGTGGTAATAAGCACAGGTAGACGATGTAGACGTACATCGGGCGAGTGTTTGACGTGGATGTCAAAGGGTGTACCTCCTAGGAGTTCTTTAAAGTCTTGGACCGTCTGGATGGTGATGCGGGGTTCTTCCATTAGAGCAACGGATTTGTCTAGGTGGTTTTGTAAGAAGAACTGGGCATGGTCCCTGGAGCGTTGTACAGTGCCATATTGGTGGTTTTGGCATATCATCTTGAGGAAGAGGCTTTTCCATGTTGTCGTAGGCCCTTCGATGCGTAGAGTGTTGACACGGTCGAGCTTCTTATTCATGATGTTGTGGATAGACATACAAAAGGTGTGTTTGTCAATGTGATTGATGCGCAAGAGGTCGTCGAAGAATGTGGTGCCAGTGTGTGTGGGGCGAGTACAGGTGTCTTGATGATTGTTCTGTTGGATAGTCCTCGAATGGCATAGAGACTTGATGCGATAGTAGTTCTTCATTGTATACCTCAATACACTGTTTGGCCGTCTCTTCCCATTTAATGCCAAATTCTGTGTATGGAGTAAGTCGTTGGTTACGAGTAAGTCGGGTCTTTAGGTCTTTGATGTGTGTGGCCTGGTGTGCCTCGATAAGATCCATTAGGAGATTTACGCGTTTTAAACGGTTAACGTTCTGGTGTTGAATACTCCTGGAATCACGGTTAAGTTGGGCACAATCCTTTTTGTCGACCAGTGTTAGAGCAATATGATCCGCAAGGTGTTGTAGTTTTTCTCCTAGTACCTGAACATGAAACCCGGTACGAGCAAGGTATGGCTCGAACTTGTGCCAGTCTATGATGGGTTGTGTGGTTGCTAGGATGTCAAACATGTATGAAGACGGTGTACTGAGGGCCTGAAGGATACGCTGGAGAGATCGGTTACGGTTTTGGGCAAGGCATTGAAAGACAACGTGGTAGTGCTCATCATGATGTATTAGGATTGCATTAATATGGTGACTTTTAATGATGGTAGGTTCAGGACCGCGGTAGATGAATGTCCACAAGTTGTCTGTAGTGTTGATCTTTTGAAGGATGCCTTGTAGAAAGCTGTTGTATTCTTCAGCGTTCTTTGTCACGTCTTGTAGTAGATCATCGTCGATGGGTGTGATGGCCCTTCGGTAGTGTGTTTAGCATGTCTTCCAGTTCGTCGGAACGTATAGGTGAAACAGGCTCTGGACTGGTGCTTTGTACTGGTTCGATACTGGTAGTTGGTCCTAGAATATCGTCAATCATAAGACTCTTCTTGTGTGGTGGACTTGCATCCAGGTCTACGTCTTGGTTTTCTCTAGCTCTTTTCAGTACGTGTTTAATGGCTTCAGCTTGTTGTGCGATCTTGGTTGATTTAGGTACTGGTGTCTCGATGCCAGTGGCTTGCATCTCATTGTGCCAAGTGTTGTACAAATCGGGATCCTGTATGCGCAGTCTTTCACTCATAACCCAGTGTGGATACGATAGTATAACGTTGGACTTGTTCATCTGGTCTTTGTATATTTCAAACTTTTCCTTGAACGATTGTCTCTTGTCTCTGTGCAACTCGTCCAGATTGGCAGTGTTCTTTCTGATGGCTTCAAACTTAGCAATCTGCTTTTGGGTGAACGGCATGATCGGAGGACCGGAGTGGAATATTGGTAACTTGTCAGGTATCGATCTGTGTAGCGAGAGTGATGGTCCAGTTGCTCATTTGTTCGCCTAGCTGGGAAATTTGTTTGCAAACGTTTCGCCGTCATACGAGGCGGCATAATCAGTGCGTCGAGATACGGGGTGTAATCTCGCTGCGCACTGGCCATAGGCCCCATGACCGACAAAGTAGGTCAACTTCCACTCCGACCCTCCGCATACTTTATCGGAGTAAAGGAGTGGCGGAGTAGGAGAGGACAATAAGAAAAATTGTTGACGTGGAGTAAAACCACAACACACTGGTTTATCGGAGTAGCGGAGTGGAGTTTACCAAACTGAACTGAACTTGTTATCTCTAGGTTGTAACCTCTGAAATAACGTAGAAAACAGTGTTTGAATAAACACTTGAAAAGAAAATGGACTATTGTCAAGTTTCCTCTGATCCAAGATATCTTGGATCGACTAAATTGGTCTGGCCAAGGCGTCTCCCTGACTCTTATTGGTAATTTTGCGGTTGTTCCCCTTTTTCTTCCCGTTTTGCACCCTGCTTTTCCTTTTTATTGTGATAGTTGTACGATTGTATACGTGTTTTTAAATTCTGCTCTGTTTTCCACCTATTCATATAGCGCGTTGGTCGTGCGCTGTATATCCGGTACGCGACCAGACGGCCAACCAAAAGCAATGGGTAGAAGACACAAGACTAAGCCGGGGAAGAAGTTTATTAGACAGGAGTAGCGTTAGCTAATGCTAAAAATAGGGCACCCGGAGAGAGCTAGCTAGGGAGAATGTCGTTGGCGTCGAGTGCGTTGAGAGAGCGTCGTTCGCAGTCGAGTAGCGCGCGCCAAAGGCGGAGGTCGCGTTCGTGTTTCCAACAAACGGGAACAGCGTTCCAACTGGCAAACCGAATCGTTCCCTAATACATAAGAAAGCCATAATTTGAATATTTTAGAATAGTTTACAGTTATACGGGGAAATCTCCAGGTCACTACACAGCCCTCTCCTAGAAGGGAAACCGTGGGTGACCCTTCGATCTACGTGAGGACTGTCCGTCGCGGGCCAGCCTTCTGCAAGACCAGGTAGTGACACCTGATGCAGCTGCTGGGGGAGAACCAGGCGATCGGACCCTAGCGGGCTCCCACCCGTGTCCTCCCTAACGGTGCCAAAAACATCAAATGGGGGAAGTTCGTTAGAGTTAAATGTTCGCGAGTTCGTGAAGGTCAAATTTGATCTTTGGCATTTAAATGTTGGTTTCAGACTCGGCATCTCCTCCAGTTCATACATGGAAGATAAACGAAAACAAGGGTAGTGACGGTGAAGGCCAGGGCAAAAATGAGAGTGACGGTGAG